CCCCCCACAAGCCTTAATTAATGCCCCTGGACATTTAGTCTCGTGCGGTAAAAGTGGAAAATCGGACAAAAAGACGGCCAATTCACTGGAATTCTCCTTGTGGGGCGCACATGATGATGATGATTGATGGTGATGACCTAGAAAATCGATAATGGCAAAGCCGAGACGACTAAATGCAATTCCCATGTACCCCTATTGATTTATCTCGAAAGTGTAACAAGGGTATTCAGTTGAGGAGCACAGAACCTGTACTGGCCACGTATTTGCAAAATTTCGAAGAAGTCGGGCCAAAGGCAAAGGAAACAGTTCTCAACTCCCTCTAGAAGTACAGCCTGCTCCCTCCTCTTCAGTTGGGGTTGGAGAAGGCAAAACACGTATTTGACGTCGCTGTTGCGTAAATTGTTTTTGTCTTGTTTTTGTCATTGGTCCATCAATTCTTAGCACCTACTTTGGTTCTTAATTTGATTTGATTGATCCCCTACCACGCATGATCCAAGCGCACATGAAACCGAACTTGTCACAAAATTTTTGTGTACTAGGTCACCAGCTGCAAAATCTGCAGAGCCGAGTGGAGTCACCACTCTACTCTATTGGCGCTTACGAAGGGAGCCAGCACTCCATCGCCAATGAATTCTAAATCTCGTTTTTTTCATCAGCATCAACATCTTCGCAGCCTTCGATTCCAATTCTTCGTTCGCTGCCGATAGTCGTGTCAGGAGAAAAAATGCCTATCGTGCAGTTACCTAACAACGTGTACATCTTTCTAGATCGTTCGGGGTTACGAAATGTTCACTTGAAAAGATAATCCAACACCCTTCGATGTGTAGAATGTCCCACCGATGGGGGCATGTGAACAATCTGTTCACTTTCTTATTCAACTTGGTGCGAGTGAGGGGCAGGGTGAGGGGTCAATGCATGCATATAAATTTCGGGTCATACCTGAGAAAGACATTTAGCAGCATCGTCACGTGGCTACCATCGACTCTTGTACTACCCTTTAATACTATGTAATGAGCTCCTCTCGCCCCTCATCACGATGTACGATTCCATTCTATTTAATCCAGTGTACGCCCTTATCCTGTCTGAGTCCTCTTTGACCTGCGAGGGTGATGTCTGATGACAGCGTTGGATTTTGTCCAGCATCTACCGCAACCAAAAGTTACATAACACAATGGATTCTGGTACAACCGATATGAATGGTACAGAAGCGGATCCCAACCTCTTTCTGTTCAGTGACACCAGGAGGGAGCACGCAAAACAATTCCTTGAGGATCTACACTCCTGCGAGAATGAGCCGACGAGGCAGAGGCTGTGCCAAGAGAAACGCGACGAGCTATTGGCTCAGAAGCACGACTTGAAGGCTGAATTTGCATTCTACAAGTCGGTTTTTGTGAGATGGATCCAGTACGGCGTCTCTGAGCACGGTCCGGAGTGGAGGGAATTCGCCACAGCCGCAAACGAAGGCGCCGATAATCAGACGCGATGTGCCAAGGAGCTCAAGAAGGCAGCGAGCTACTGGGGCGAGGACATTGTTCAAAATTATGTTGAAGGTCGTGGGGTTAGTTTTGCCATACGGCTCGCCCTTGTGGCCAAGGTCCATCAGGACTTCCAGACACAGGCCTTACCCAGACTCCAACAGCTCATCCGTCGGCGTATCCTGCTTGACAGGCGCAACTTCAAGCACGCCCTTGAGCGCATCGATCTTATCAACGCAAAATTATGGACATCAGATGCTTCATATGTGAAGTTGAACGATCACGAGAAAATCGAGCTCCCCTTTTCAAATTTGAAATCAAGCGAGCTACCAAACGGTTATGTCTTCGATCTCCACGGTCTTATTGTACCCGGGCAACCTACAGTCGAGTTGTCGAAGGCTCTCCACACGACAGATCCGGGATCACTGGGCGAAAATTGCATCTCCAACGAAAGGACAGTCAATAGATCGAGAAGAACTGATGCAGGTTCATACGATATCATATTGTGTCCCGACCAATCTAACGCAAGTTCGCTTGTGAGGTGTAGTAGCGGCGACGCCCATGAACACAACCAGCCCTCTAGCATCTTGGAGACCACGAAAATCGTGGGTAGCGTACCTACCAGCCAAGGTGAGGGGCCAGTCCAGCCCGGGATCTCCCGTGCTTGTGTCACCATAAGCAACAGCAATGATAGTCCGGACGCAAGCTCGGCACCCACCAACCTATCCAGTAATGGTCCAGTTATGCAGAGTGCAGTTCACTCTCCAACCTGCATTAAGGACCCCGCGACCCAAGTTCCCCTCGAAAGAACAGCCCAGACAGTAGAATCCCGAAGATCAAGCCGCATCGCAGCCGGTAAGCAAGCCGTGTACGAGTCGGCGGCAACGACGCTACGAAGGACCAGCCGCACCACCAAGACCAAGACCCCGAATAGCGAAAATCGAAATAATCAACCAAAAGCGAACGAACCGAGTTCGGATACTCAGTCAGAGCAGCAGCAGTATGGCTTGGCTCTGGCACGAATCAGTCAGCTTGCTGGGGAGCTTGATAAATGTAGCTCGCTGGACGAGGTGCCAGTTGCTCCGGACAAGCGACGTGCAACATCGGTACCGCTAGACGTTGACAAGACACACAAGCGGCTTCGCGACCAGACGGTCATCGGCCCTCGTGGCTTCTGCCCTGACGCGTTGCCCCAGTGCGACTCTGTCTCTGATCAGGTGTATCTCGCCCAAGCTGTCAGCGAGGTGTCCGAGAGGGCCAAAGACGCGTCCGGCAGCCGTGGTGCTCGAACTGCAGCATGTCTGCTCCCCATCTTGAAGAACTGTAAACACCCGAACACAGATGCAAATTGCGGAGCGTTGGACCTCCATCTGATGAGTGGAATCAGAGCTAAGAAATTCCTCGACTCCAATACACCCGATGTCCCACTCATCACAGAGGGGCAACAGGTCTTCGAATGGGACAATCGAGAGAAAGCCATTGCTGAATTTCTTGAATGGATTGGGGATGACGATAAAACTGTCTCGGTCCAGATTCCGTCCCTCAAGGCTGATAGCTGCTCCTGTGAGATACACGACCTGGGACAAGTCCGAAGTCGATTTCTCTCGTCAAATAATGAGGATGACCCATGGAATGTCCTTGACTGCAGCTGCCCAGTGCCTTCCACCCTTCCATCCTTTTTGGCCGGAAGAAATTGCCAGCTTCTTGGCCGAATACGGGATCAAGTACTGAATGGCCGCAGTGCTGAAAGGGCGCAGGTATCTAGGGATGATTGGTCAGAGTGGAAAGACATCGAATACTGGGCACTTTTGTCTGAAGGGGGGCATTGCACAGCACCGCATATGGACAGCCATGGCCTTGCGACGTGGATAACTGTTCAGCAGGGCTGTTTCGGTTTTGTATGGATGTCGCGCCCAACCAGGGATCAGCGCAGAGAGTGGATGATGGATGTAGAACACTACGAAGACGATCAGAGATGGCGCTATTGGATTCTTAAACCCGGCCAGACCGTCTACTTTCCATCCGGAACAATCCACGGCGTATTCCGTCTTCGAGGAGAGCAGACACTCGCGCTCGGCGGGCATATCCTCCAATGGTCCGGAATCAATCAATGGGTGGATGTGTTCCATGAGCAGGTCAGATACCCAAACTCCACTAATGAAGATATGGAATTTCCCTCAAGGTGGTTTTCGGCTACGGAGCGGCTTGTCCGGAATAGGTTGGGGCAGAGTACGAGAGATTGATTTAGGTCAGAGGATAATGAAGCAATGGAGATAATCCGTGTAGATATTCTACCCTTCTCACTCATCTATCCCAAGCTTAGTACTGCGCGTTAGGGTCCGATTTGATGTGCACGCCCTAGGCAGAGTGATCCTGTTGCGCCTCCAGCTTCTTGTAAGCTTCAGGGCTCCACATAACCGAGGAAGGATATTGAGGGACCGTCTCAAACTCGCATTTAAGGAAGAGTCTGCACAATATCACAGCTTCCTTCTGAGCTTACTCTGCCTCACATCGATGCCCATTCCAATTCCCTTCCCATGTGATATCTTAGATCACTGCACCACCGCCATCTTCATTACTCACAATATAAAGTATAAACAATTCAGCGTATTCCCAGTTTCAGAGAATGTGTAGAGAAATATTGCCTTTGTCATCGGGGTCCTCGACTAGCAGATCCCATTTATCATCCATAGAACGTGTTCGAAACCCAGCCTTGAGCTTCTCGAGGTCTTCACTGCTGACTGGTAGACCCCAAGGCGATGTGACAGGCTCGTTGATAGGCTTAACAATGCTCCTGTCGTACCTTGCTGTCCACCATAGTTGTATCTCTTCCTCGGTCGCTGGTTCAACATCAATACGTGGTTCATTATCAACACATGGTTCATCATCAGAGCCAAGGTCTGGAATATCTTCTGGATTTATGAACTCCACTTGTTCTAGATCGTATGATATCATGACGTAATCTGAATAAATTTATCAGTTATAGTGAGGGTTAATGCAAATTCAGTTACACATACTTGTTGGTGATGAATGCGTTATTTGGCGTTGGTAAAGAAAATGGATCCCACCTCGGGGTTGTATTGATTATTTATGAATACATAAATACGGGGCAAGAAAGAGACTGTTGGCGCTAATTGATGACTGCGTATACTCTCCAACAGAAGTGACAGGGCCCAAGCATTCTCCGCTATGACCAGAGATTCCGTTAACCATTGCTTTATCATCGGCATCTCTTAGCTCTGGATGCCTACGATCACTTCTATGAGCCCGTTAAGGAACGCAGAGCTGGTCCGGAGCTAGGGAGGTTTGCGGTGATGCCGTAGCATCCAATCAAGGATTGCATTCGCAACAAATAATAGCTAGTCTTCATCCAGGGATCACGAGGATGTCAGTGCCTAGTTAACCGAGATCCCAGAATCCGACATCCGCAAGCGTATTGCAGCTAGAGACGATGCGCACATCGTCCGGCGATACTGAGTCGTGTACTAGGGATCGAGATTGAAATGAAGGTGAGTATTGGATAGATAATTATGAATTTGAGGGTGGGAATAATAAAGTATCTGACGAGAGTAATGAAGGTGAAGAATGCAGCAGCACTTTATTCTTGAGCAAGCCGACTGGGTGAGTCCTCATGGTTACAGCTCGCATCTTCTGGCGCTGTTTGAGAAATAATTACATGGATTACACTTCTGACCTCGCTTGACTCAATACATTTCGGTTTCCATTCGCAACTTCACATTCTACCATGTCTATCCTAAACAATTGCTTACTAACAAAAACATTCAACCATGTTTCCCCTCAGTCTCGTCCATTATCTTCGCTCCGTCTTAACCTTTAGACTTCAGGCACTCAGCATGACGAGTGGAGGGGGCACTGAGACTAGAAGTAGAGCTCGAGGTAATATTCAGTGAGGGGTCATCGCCAGGTGCACGGGATCTTGGCTCGTCCCGTCGCCCTCATCAGTATGTGGCTGAGGTTGGCCATAATCGGCGGTCTGCAACGGAACGTCTGATGCAGAATTTCCCGAGCCATGCGGGACCGAGAGATCAGCCTGGAAACGTCTAGCGTTTGCTTCCAGGATGAAACGATCACGATATGATTTCGCCAAGTCTCTGGCATTCCTGAATGCAGATACCCCACAGAAGAAATTGTCAATAGTTCCAATAAGACTCCACGAGGCCACTAAATCTATGCATGGCCCGAGATCCAAGGGCGCCATCGTAGCAAGCTTGCAGCGTTGCCACACCTGAGGTTCCCTTTGGGCCCTTGACCTCCAGAAAGAAGTTGGGCACCATCGGCCTGTCTTCCCAGGCCGACGGAATGATGTCGCCAGCGAGCTCATCGCGGATCGACCGGTCAAGATCTTTGGGGTCAGCGCCGTAATAGAAATCTGGTTTTGCAGGTACGATCGTGCCGTCGGTGAGCGGCTTAAGCTTGGTAAACTGGGCGTTTGGGAGGCAGAGAGGATCGGCTTCGATTGGGCCGGTTATGGTTGGGATTACAGCCCTTAGTACAGCAGCTTCGTTTTTGGCGGCAAAATTTCTCGCTCGAAACGTATCGAAGTTGGTAGAGGAGAACAACGAAGGCGAGAGTGATGGCCTCCGTCTATCCAGGGCTTCCATGATCTCTGCCCATTCTGGCCCTTGTGAGGCGAATGTTGGGGGGTGAACTTCATGGTCAATCAAGTGTTGCTCGAAACCGGCGTGATATGCGTTTGTCGTTGGTTTGGTCGGGGTCGTTACTGGGGTGGGCATCGTTGATGGGTCGGTGGCATTGGCACCTTGGTGTTGTGGAGGAGAGTTCATGGTGTCTGCAGGTCGGTGCCTTCTGATCGGCTGAGGATACCCTCTAAGGTCACGCAAGTCTGGACCGCCGTGTCTCGCAAATCGAGCAAGCTCTCTGGTGGCAATCTGGGAGAGATTCTGCGCAGTCGGCCGCGAAGGAAAGGGAGGCGGCGTATAGATGCGCCTTTGAAGCTCTTCTACGGCGCTGGGAATAAGTGGTATGCTGGATAATCTGTCCCAAAATATTGGGGGGTATTGCCAACTAGGTTCACTTCCTGAACAGCTGCCCTGAAGCGAAGGCTTGTCGGTGCGTTGTCGCTTGCAACCGATCGAAGGAGAATCGTCTTGAGGTGAGGGCTCGTCAGGGTGCTTCCGCTTCGTGAGGTGTGATCTCCCTTTCGGTTGTGTGGTCTGGCAAGGAGCAACCATGGTTGGGAGCTATTTAAGAGAAACTTCTAGGAGATTGGGAATTCAAGGTGACGTTAAGACGGGCGTTTCGGAATCGTAGGCGGCAGCGTGCCGTGTATACTTGTTGGTTCAGTAGCCTAGTCTCTAGGTGCGGTGTGATGCGGTGCGATACGAGCCAATGATTATATGGCTGAGCATCCAAGCCGTGGGACAAAGGCCAGTTGATCGACATTCCATGAGCCAGAAATGGCCCGTTGGGCCCACTCACACTGGAGTAGGCATCCAGACAAACAAGGCGGATGCCCTGCTGCTAGCCCTAGGCTGGTCACGGCTGGTGTTAGATCACCTCCACATATGGATCCATGCATACGGTGCCTGATGATTAATTATCCCCTGTGGCTTCACGCAACCAATGAACATCCGTTTAGCGGAGCACGAAGCTAGTTGGAGGTTTCTGGTGTTTTGCTAGGTTTAAGTCTGTATTATTTTGGAGGAAATTTTGGTTGTGATGCCGCCTCCATATGAAGTGATCTTGGCGTTTCCTTTGTTCCCTGTAAGGTGCAGAAAGGCAAACTATAAATATCCGGTAAGTCTAAGGCTACAAAGCCAAGTCGCAAACGGCTTCATAGCGTTGCTCGACACAATCAACCAGGATACGCATGGTGGGATGCCCCAGCTCATGACCCCCACTCACACGCAGCGGCCCTAGCTTTAGCAGGGCTAACGCAGATCACCTTAAATAGCACATGATAGCTGGTCAATGATTGTTCAGCTAGGTCATGGTTGAGTATCCACAATCACGGTACAGGAAGCGAGACTACCAAGGTGTTGACGTTTCAGGGTAGACGTAGGGTTACGGCGAGCTAATGAAGCCTCTGGTTCATTCATTCAGCATTCATGTGCGGATTGATTATAATGTGAGGACTTGTTAGTGTACAGTCTCTTCCAACCGTTCACGGGAAAGTCGTCCTAGACGCTTCATCAGCTTGCCGTCACTTTCGGTTGCGTGGTCTTGTTATGAGCGGCCATTGTTTGGAGCTGAGATGCTAAGAGGGTGAGGGTTGCTGCTTAGCACAATAGTAGCACAATTGAGGTGGCGCCTGCTCTGAGCATCAGCAACACGATTCATGTAAGCTAGTGGTCCGTGAGCTTAGGGGTTCGCCTATTTTCGCCCGACCATAGAGCCCCATGGTGCTAGCCGCAGCCAAGGTCCCGAGCGAATAAGGGCTGAGTTTGTCGTAAGCTGTTGAAACAAGTTTCGGGAAATGGGGAGGCGGGCGCCTCAGACTCATCAGGACTGCTGTGAATGCATGCCGGTGCAGTGGCTTATTCTCTAGGGGCGGCGCGGTGCGAGCCAATGCGTTGATTAGCTCTTCAACACGCTGAATACACTATCATACCGCTACTGAATAGTGGCCAAGTTGAGATAAGCAATGGTTGAGCCGTCGGAGCTACGTTGAGCGCGACGAGGAGGAAAAGTCGGCATCGGGCATAGGAAGCAAGACCACCGTCATAGAGAGATAACTTGCGCCGAAGCAGCTGGCCATTTACGCTTTCGGAGACATCGAATGCCGCACTCATTCACTCCCTAATTTAAGCATTCGGCTCGAGCAACGCGTCGCTGGAGGCCATCCAACCATTGCCCTTCTCGATCCACGCTCACTGCCCTTGCGTAACCATGTCCGATGGACAACCAAAATCCTCCTGCGGCTCACATACCATAGGAATGCACTCGAGATCCGTCCAACGCGAGTTTCATGCTCCTTGCAACATACATGTGGTGATCATGAAGCTATGTCATTGCCATGTAATCTCTTCCGTATTCAAGAGCACAGCGAAAGTGAGGATTGATGTTAATTCGCCCCTCGTAGCGTATTCATAGGAGATAAAGTCGTCGAAAACGAAATCAGGGCATCAGCGTCATAGTCTGAGCCGTAATAAAAGTGAACACCCCCGTCGTGCTTAAAATGCCCATCAGCCTTCTCAAAGAACCAGATGAGATTCTCATCCTCTTCCGATACCTTCCAATATAAAAGGGGGTTATCCGTTTTCACAGCTGAGAAGATATTCTCAGCTAGTTTACCAGCCACCCAAACTTATTAATACTAAGACAAGTTATAGTAGACATGGGCTTATCTGTAGAAGGTGGGAGAATGATAGCCAAACCCGACATACTCTCATCATAATAAGCGGTGAATGGATTTACCTTGAGAAACTACAGAGGCGGTCAACCCTAGCCTCGCATCGAGGCTCTTTGTGACTGTTGAGAAGAGTTTCCTTGACCAGGCTGAGATCTGGGAATTCGGACAAGGAGGATACACGTTGTATCGCATCTCCTCGTCGGATGAGCGTGCCAGCGCCGGAAGCTGTGTCTTGTTAGACTTGCATTGCACCTCCAGCACCCATGCAAATAGTACCTGTAAAAAGCCCCCTATGAAGATCGCTTGGGTGAATGACAGCAAACTAGAGCTTCGTGGGTCACAGACTCAACGAATTTAAGACGCGTTCCATAGCGACACCATGGCTGGCTCCTAAGGTGCTCGTACTCCGTATCGAGGTTAATCCTAGAAATTTTTTTCTACCTCCATCGAACAAGCGGTTTTTTTAGATAGATACACCACCTTTAGGGGCTGGGGTTTCAGTGCTCGAGCCAGTTCGGCAGCAGCGCTATCTGCGTTGACGTTGAGCACCTGTCCATCCTCAGTCTCTGCTAGAGACATCATAGCATATATAACCGGCCTTAAGACTATATTCTGTAGACGAGTTAGTAAGTAATGATAGAACAGACAGCAGAAGAAAAGTGACCTGACCAATTGCAGCGGTATTCACAGATTTATTTTGCCAACGTAGCCCTGATTCTCCTTGTCGAGATAGTCTGCCATAAAGACGCCACTGAGAGTCTGTTACTGACGCCGAGCTGGTCAAGCTTGTCGGTAAGCTTGAGGTTCTCCTATAGGAACAACTTGCGGGCAATGCCGAGTATGCCCTCCGAAAATGCAAGGGTTACTTTCACGGGCTAGCCGGGAATCGAGTTGAGGACCGCCCCTGTGCACAAGTATCGGTAAGAGCCCTAGTTCGTAAAGAAAAGCTAGCTGCAAACCGAGTTCGTCAAGATGCTCAGATCTAAACGACAAGCATCGTGTAATCAGTATCAGAATAGCAGGCAAACTTCATGAGAAAAGCAATTACTCACAGGATAGCATCACCTACTTTCAGAACACAGAATGTCTGGGTAGAGGCGAAAAGCTGAAGGTACAGCTGGGCCTCTCTTTTCTGCCATTTATATGTCAGTGGCCGGATTGGCACGCGGGTTTTCAGTAAAGCTCTTCGCTCATTTCGAGGAGCCTTGATGAGAACTGCAAGATTCTAGCAAGGCTAACAGAGCCAATAGACCGTAGCATATGGCTAACAATTGCCCTGGTAGCATTCTTGGTTGTAGACGAGTGTCGACAGGTCACCGGATTTCGGAATTGACTGAAGTTGCTATTGATTGGTGAGAGCTCAGAGGGTCTGGGGCACGGTTTGTGAGAATCGCTTCGCCATGGTGCGTAGTGCTAATCCGCGGCACGGAGTGAAAGACATGGTCACAGGCTGCTTCGATCCAATTGACTATGTCGTTGGCAGTTGTAACTTCGGAAGAGCTTGATGGAATTCCATTGTGGGTACCGTAGAGCCATCACGTGCACCCACTCGCGTCATTAATCGTTGGTAGTCAGCAATACTCGAGGTGTCTGGTGGAATCCATCATCAGTCCTGGCCTCCACCACACCATCTCTCCTTCAACTACCAAGAATAGGACCCAGTGAGACTGTGGCTTAGACTATGAACAGCATTCGCAGCAAGCGCGAGATAGCTCTCTGGAAGTAATATGCACTAGAGCTCCGGCTGTACCCAGTTGTTGTTCACAGAGTTACCGCCCACCCGCGGCTAAATTCCTCTTCTTGTGTGTGATCGGGACCGATATCAACGCTATCGACACCAATAACAGACCTTCTGCGGGCATAAGGGACACATCCGACAAGTTTCCTCCGTGGGCTGGACGCTCTAGCTACATGTAGTAAACAAAACCACCACCTACGAGAATCCGCTGTCAAAAACCCCTATTCGTCTTAGTATCTCTGGCGCCTTGTCAATGCAATCCCTGACAGTTTTTGTACCCAGTTTAGAAACTCTAGTGTTATTAATATTGTTGCCAACGGCCGAGGCATCCAAGATACTTAATTACCGTGCATGCTGAGCTAATGGCAGCTTGTTCCACGTTATACTTAATAAAATGTCTAAACTCCCCTTATACCATAGCTGCCAATTGACGAAGGTCCGAAGGAGAAGCTCAGTACCACGGAGGAAAAGCAAGTACAATATATCTATGAGCACGATGAGTCTAAGTTAAAGATCGAAGAGAGACTGGGTAGGTAGAGTGAGTTGAGTGTATCGGGAGAAGCATCAATCATCGTTGGATCACAGAGAAATTCTTTGTTTCAGTAATCAGCCCTGTTAGTACTACCCTATTCCCGGTCGTTGTCGTCCTCGCTAGCCTCTTCAACATCAGCAAACTAAAGTAGCAACCTACTACTTCTACAATCTTCAACTTTCGTCACGTCTCTTCCAGTTCTCCTTGTCAACAACTCTATGACAAGGCTTCCCCCATCGTTGTATCTCTCGTAAACCAGTCTCATGCTCTCTAGACACTACACCGTTACAGATGTAGGTTAGATAGTAACCCCTAACAAGAGCCTAAAAAGTCAATTGGCAATCGGCTTGTCCAGGAATTGTATCATGTGTCCCACATTTGTGGCCTTCTTGATTGCACTATTGGTGGTAAGTTTGCTTGGTCATGTTGATATTTGCTCAGAAAAATGGAGAGTCTTACCTTTTTATCATCAGCGCATGCTACATTTGTTTTCAATGCTGATATATAACAATTTCCATTGCCATTGCCGCCGCTTTTCGTACACGTTCCATGCTATTGGTCATACTTAGCACTGGCTATTTTATAAAGATGATAAGGGAACCTCGTATACATACCGAACTCTCAGGAGTGCCAGTGTTGCCTGGCGCACTGGACATTGCCTTTTGTCTATTGCGGACAGGCGGCTTTCCTTTATTGTGGACAGGTGCCTTTCCTCTCTTGGGGCTGGGTGCCTTTGCTCCCTTGGGGCCGGGTTTGCCAGGAGGTACAGCGCGTCGATAGTGAGAGGCTCGGCCCTTGCCGCGACGCCTGGCTGGCCAAAAAGAGCCACGCTGAGCAGCGTTTCTCCCGGTCCTCCTGGGAGCGAAGTCCCCAGGAAGTACAGCACGGGGTTGGTAAGGAGGTTCACCTCGCCTCTCAAGATGGTAGGCAGGACCGGTACGACCACGCTGGGCAAACGCGCCGCTGGCGAGTACAAGGAGGGTTGTACCGAGGTAGTTGGAGAGCTTCATCTTGAGGATAAAGGTAGTAATGGGTTGGTTCTGGGAAGCAGATAGCGGCTGAGGACTGTCAGCTTCTAGAAATAACGATGAGATGGAGGAGTTGGTAAAATGGAGAGCTTGAGATATGCGAAGTAAAATCAGTGGTGATGAGTGCCTTAGCTATGAAATTGTGGTGATCTTGCACGTAATATATACTTGTTTGATTTCTTCATGTTGAGATATCACCCCGTTGACCATATAGAGATACATGCTGTGAAGCAAGAAGATGGCTTACCAACAACATTCCACTCCCCTCGACAAACAAACGACAGTATACTATTTTTATTCCAGTTTCTAGTAGCTGAAAGGGGAGTTGGAGCCGCCCCCAGTGCTAATATAACACTGCCCCTTCGACTTGCTTCGCGGAGCACTGCTATAATAGGCATTCGGTTTCGCCCAACAGCAGTCTGAAATGCTATATTTGGTCCTGCGAGCACAATATCAAGAGGATCCTGCTCCTACAAGGCGGGGGCCAATTCCCTGGAGCCATCGTGTGATGTTTCGTACAGTAGTATCGCTTGGTCTCTCCTTGCGAAATGCGTGATGATGCACCAGCAGCTGAGCCAACGGCACTAAAACCTTGATTTCCAATCAAGGAAACACCAAATTTAGGCTGGGGGCGGCATTCAGCTCTCTCCATTTGGCTACCAACAAACATACTGGCTGCAGATATTGAGCCATCGAACCACACTTGCATAAGTCATGTAGGCTACCGACCAACATGTTGACTGCAGATGCAGAGCCAATGGTCCACCAGTGACATCTGCATAGTCTCTGCAACGCTCTGTTGGTCAGACAACTAGACCTGCAGATACAGGATGTCTTATGAGACACTGTGCCCCTGCTCTCCCGCCCCGCGTTATTTGTTGCCGCCGGGTGATAACTCGAGTGCCAACAATGTTGTGCAATTTAGGTCACCCTCGCCCATCTCCCAGAAGTCCTCCAGCATTGGCAAGCTTCCTCTTCACTCTTCATTCCATGACTATCGACGCAGCCAACATGATTTGCAACGCGTGCTCAGAGACAATCCAAAGCATCTGGGATCCCTCTAGCCCAAGGCGACTGCGACGTGCGTGGGAAGAGAACTCCGATGATAAGAATCTGCCCCCTGACCATCCAGACAACTACATCTTTGCGCACCATGCCACATCTGAGTCTCTATCGCGGGCTATTTCCGACGGGTGCACCATTTGTAAGCATATAGAGGCGGCAGTTCTCGTAGACGAGTCTGAATTCGCTCAGTCTGGATACTTTCGTCTCCCCAAATACGACCAGCCCGGATATTTTTCTACCCTCGGTGTTCGAATCGAATTGCGCATGCTATATGGTCTTACAGAGCAGCAGGGATCCCTTAACGAGTGTCTATGTAACATCTATCCCTCTGCCCTATTCATCCTTCTGCCTCCTGCTAACGCCAAACTGCAGACCCAGTGGATAAGCCGACGCTCACACTCAGCGGATCGACTGGTGATGCCTCCGCCCTACTCTTGGTTAGGCGCTGGCTGGACACTTGTCTACAGACGCACAAAAGCTGCAACAAGATCATCGGGCAGCAGTCTTTTGTTCCGCCCCGGCTTGTCCAGCTGGATGACGCTGCCGAGTCCTTCCGAGTGGTGCTTGCTACCGAGTTGGCTCCAAGCACTCGCTATGCCACGTTCACCCACTGCCACGACCCAGATGACGATGGAATCAAACTTCTTGAGTCAACAATGGGGCACTTGTCATCTATGCAACCCCTTTCTACTCTACCTCGGTCCTACCGCGATGCCTGCGCGGTGGTTGTCCAACTCGGCCTCTCGCACATCTGGATCGAGCGCCTGTGCGTTATCCAGGACAGTCAAACTGATCAGCAAGCACATCAGGATAAGGTGCTGAGGCGGGACATCTTATCCAAAGGTTTCTGCGGCATCGGTGATGCGGGCTCGACTTCCTCATTCTCCGGCCTTTTTACAAAATTCGATCGAGCTCCTCTAGCTCCTGACGTCTTTCTCTTCCAGCCCAAAGCAGATGTGCCACCCTCCCCCCATGTGCTGCTCAGGGACATCGCCACAGAAAAGCTGCGAGCGTTTCGATACGAGCCGATTTCGGAGAGCGTTCAAGCGCTACGTGACCGCCTCTTGGTACCCCGGATGGTGTACTTTGGCAGTCAGATGCTGTTCTGGGAGTGTCACGCTGCTCATCACGACGAGCTTGCCAACACAACAGCGGCGGAGCATGGCCCATTCATCGTTGGGAGGGAGGGCGAACTAACACCGAATGCCAGCACGCCAGTCGTCAAGCTGTGGAAACCGCTCCTTGAGTATTCCACGCATCACTTCAAGGATCCCGTCGACCAGATACTGGATCGCTGGGCCTCGTTCGTGACGCAGTTTTCGAAGCTGGATGCTGGTCCGTTAGAGAGATTGCCTCTGCTTGAGAACCTGGCTATGGAGGTGAGGCAGCTGCTGGCGGAGCACGGCTGTGAGGACACCACGTACCTCGCGGGGCTGTGGAGGGTGTCGTTCCCCACGGCGCTCCTGTGGCTGACTCAGAAGCCAGCGCAAGAACCACCAGCTGCTCCCTCTGCACCCTCCTGGAGTTGGGCCTCTGTGGATGGCGAGGTGCTTCTCAAGGAACCCAGAGACAGCTGGAGAACGGGTCTTCTATGCGAGTTTGTGGACTGCGCCGGCACTTCAGATGATAGCTCGAGAACAACCGCCTCGGCCAGCATCACCCTCAGGGGAAAGCTTCTCCGCGGGAGACTAGCATTTTTTCCCGACACACTTAGAGCGGTCGGATGGATGTGGATTCTGAGCCTTGGCGATGCGCAATGTGACACCGGCTTCCGCCTGGAAAACGGCCCAGTCAAGCTTCCCATGCACAAAGATTGCTCTGCCAGGTTTGATGTGCAGCAAAGCATGACAGAGGAGGCCTTGCTCTTACCGTTGAAGGCCGAAACGGAAGATTACGGGTCGTTCAAACAACACATGTTGCTTGGTATTATTATCTCTCGACTTGGCGATGGCAGGTATGTCCGCCAAGGCCGCTTCAGAGTGCAGACAAAGACTCTAGATGAGGCCTTACATGCATTTGATGATGTGCCACTTTCTCAAATTGAGATTGTCTAGTCTAATGGTCCTGCTCCTTTCTGCCCAAGACTCAAGCTGAGTTGTCTGCTCTACATTGTTGCCACTCGCATAAACAGGTACCTTATTGGAAAGCAGTCGTTCACAAGTAAATGAGGATGAGAAGCTGGGAATCCTCCGCGATATTTCTTTAGATTCCGGGTCCATTAGGGTTCCAGGTATTAGGTTCACAATACATTGAAGATGCCGAATAACAGTATTTATGATCGTTAGAATCTCACGTCGCCAGAACAGACTCTGATATGCTAAGTCCAAAATCGTAAAGCCAAACTACAAATTCTGGAATACTTCTTTGTAATAGATCGACAGCCTTCTAGAAATAGTGCTGAGCGTCAGTATGGCTCTGATGACGAAGAATAAGGTGGCACCGTATTCTGGAGTAAGACGACTTGGGAGGGAGAAGGCATGGAGCGAGGCAACGGCGGCAATTGGGAGGCCTCGCAACCTTGTGTTGGTTGACACGTTGGATGCTAAAAACGCACCTGCATGTAATGAATTTGGGGGCTATTTATGGTGATATTAGTTTATGGTGATATTAGTAACATCCAGGGGGAACACCAATTTCTCCACCATCAGGCCACACTGTTGGCGAGGAGTTGTTTTCCAGCTCTTTCCCCTCTCCGTCACATCCCTATACGGCGACTCAGCACAACACCCATCTAACACCACCAACGTGCAGACAGCTCTCACAGCTGTGTGTGGCATCATCAGCATCCCTACAACGAACAATTGCGGTACCTACTTTGAGCTATGAAGTTCCCCTCGCCGTCCCGAGCCGTGGACTTGCTCTTGAACAAACTTCGGTTTCGTGACTTTTCCGGCAATCGGAGCCCAGTATTTCATGAGAATCGAAAGGAATGGCTAGCCAACGTCACTCGAGGTGAGTATCGCTCTCTTTCTACTTTACTGCCCACCAACTTTGACCACTATCCACCGTAATAGAACTGATCTTTATATAGAGTCAATACTTAGAGAATACACGGAATATGTACTTCACGGGAAACCTGGGATAGGAGGTGTGTTTGAAAATGCAGAACGGCGGGTGTTGAAGAAGATTTTTGCTACTTACGCTAATTCGGATAACCGTACGCACACCCTGTCCCTACTCGTGACTGACTCGCTTAGCTAACAATTAATACATAGGCTGGGACCGGCAATCACTTGAGTCTTTCTTGATAACGCGAATTCCCCAGGATGAGAATCATGTAGACCTCCTCAGGAAATGCGCAGACTTCTGTTGGACACTTGCCATTTACTTGGCACAATGGCCCTTCAACACAACATCAACATCCCCTCCAATCAGTCTCACATTTTCATCCTTTGCCCGCGCCATGGCTTTTCTTAGCGGAGGGCACTGCCATATGGTTTGGCCTACCAAGGTCACACCTGATGAGCCCGAGCGGTCTGATCTATGTGCACTCGAGTACATATTTCGAGCCTTGGCCACGACCAAAGTAGTGGACGAGCGTTCTGGCCCAGCACCTGAAGAAGAAGCCACTGGATTATCACGCCAGCACCATGATATACTTGAAGTCCTCTATTCAGTTCAGCCAGTCATGAACTTTCTTACCTGGCAGCTGGGACCCAATGAATTGATCCCGACAGCTCTGATGTTATCTCCTCCCCCTCCCCCAGAGCTGTCTTCCCTCAACGTCCCGGCCGGAACGCTTATTTCGCTCATTGACCTTCTCATTCCAGTCCTCGATCAGGCCCGCGAAAACCCTCACCATCAAATTTTGATAGGTAAGCTAAAGCCAGCTTATGTTAAGTTGCAGAGCGTGGAGGCTATATCGTTTGACGACTTTACGGGCTGGATGGGTACCCGTTATGAGCTCAATTTCTACACTGGTCTTTCTGTGCTTTTTCGTATCTTCCCATGAGGAACGGGTTGGCCACACAGGGCATTTGTTGTTGGGTAGATATCATTATTTAAGTAGTAAGTGAGAGAGTTATGCAGTTATGCGGCAGCTGCTGAGAAAAAAAAAA